TGGAGAATCCACCATGATCATTGGTAAATTATTCCAGTGGTTAATTACCATCATTGTTAAAAATGTACACCTTATTTCTAGTCTGAATTTGTCTAGCTTTTATTTCCAGCCATTGAACCCTGTTATACTTTTCTCTGCTGGACAGAAGAGTCCATTATTAAATATTTGTTTCCCATTTAGATACTTACAGACTGTAATCAAGTCACTCCTTAATCTTCTCTTTGTTAAGCTAAATAGTTTGAGCTCTTTGGGTCTATATCACTATAAAGCAGGGGTCGGCAACCTTTGAGAAGTGGTGTGCCGAGTCTTCATTTATTCACTCTAATTTATACATTGTAACGTTTTTAGAAGGTCTCTTTCTATAAGTCTATAATATATAACTAAACTATTGTTGTATGTAAAGTAAATAAGGTTTTTAAAATGTTTAAGAAGCTTCATTTAAAATCAAATTAAAATGCAGAGCCCCCCAGACCAGTGGCCAGGACCCAGGCAGTGTGAGTGCCACTGAAAATCAGCTCGCGTGCCATAGGTTGCCCACCCCTGCTATAAAGGCATGTTTTCTAATCCTTTAATCATTCTCAGCGCTCTTCTCTGAACCCTTTACAATTTATCAACATCTTTCTTGAATTATGGGCACCAAAACCGGACATAGTTTTCCAGCAGCAGTCGCACCAGTGCCAAATATAGAGCTCCAAACCTCTCTACCCCTACTCAAAATTCCTCTGTTTACACATCCTAGGATCACAATAGCTTTCTTGTGAACAAGATCACTGAAAAGGCATGAGGAAAAGGCAGGGAACATGGAGTGCTCTTTACTACAGACCTGTCTCCTTCTACCCAAGCTAAAATCTTGGCATCACGTTCTGCTATTTCCTCACGGAGGTCTGCCTGTCAGTCAAGCTCAACGTAAGTCAAATGGCGCTCTTAATCTTTCTGCCCACAAGTCCTCTCCCCTACCTCTTTTCTTGATCACTGTGGACACCACCACCATTCTGCCTGTCACTCAGGCCTGTAACATGGGTGTCATCTTCGACTCTGATGTCTCTATGTCCTCACATCAAGATATATCTATATTTTCTACATTCTTTCTGCAAGACATCTCTAAGATCCAGCCTATCCTAGTCAATCCACACAGCAAAATTTCTTGTCCTGGTTCTCATCTTGATTACTACAATATCTTTCTCTGGCCCTGATAAATGTAATTTTGCCTCCCTCATATCCATTCAGAATCTTGCTGCAAAGATCATTCTCCTTGCCCACTGCTTTGCTCATGGTAATTCTCTCTTTGCATCCCTCCACAGGCTCCACCTTCTCGATCACATTAAATATGAACTGTTTGTTCTCACTTTTAAGGCCCTCTCCACCCTACATACCATCTCCCATTCACTGTTGAAGTGTCAGCCCCTTCCTCTGACCAGGCAACTATGTCAGTGTCCGTCACCCACTTGTTAGATTTTTCAAATTAGCATCATTGTGCTTTCTCCCATGCTACCCCTCATGCTTGGGAGGAGCTCCCCATAAACCATCTGCAAAGCTACCTTATTTTCCTCCTTCAAATCCCTCTTAAAGAAAACTCTCCTTTGTTATGATGCCAACAAAAAATCTTGACAATGGTTAGGCCACTGCCTTCATGCTGACGAATACTGTGTCACTGTTTCCTTCCACTCCTCCATCTATATGTATCCATCTGTTGTTACTGTCTTCGACTTAGATTATAAACACTTTAGAGGCAGGGACTCTCTTTTCATTCTGTTTCTGTAGTCCTTAGCACAATAGGGTCCTGGTGCATTAGTACTGCTACGGTAATGTAAATAATGAACAACAATGATGGAGGGGAATAGGATTGAAAATCGTTTCTGGATTATTATTAGTACTCACTGGTCTTATGTATTTTCCACTTCATGTCACAGAACATTAAGAGAAACAGTCCTCAAATGGGAACCACGGTGGAGGGTATTTTCTGTATTTTCTACAGAAACTAAGGCTCCCAGGCATCCCATCAAAATTGCTGATTTGATGCCAATAGGGCCACAGACTCAGCAGCTATAGATGGAACATGTTTCTCTCTCTAGTGTTGGCTTTTCTGCATGCCTGAAGTAAGGAGGATGTTGAGAGGACCTCAGTTTAAACTGATAAGATGCAAAACTAAACCTTAAAATGATTGTTTCTGGTGTATGTATCTGATATAGCCTCACTTGAAAACATTTGACTCCTTAAACTCATGAACTGACTTGAACAGACAGTTGAAGTGCTTCAGGCTTGCATTTTAAAAGGGAAGAATAACCCCAAGAGTGGGAATCTGTGTAGACAAAAAAAACAAAAAACTATTATTGACCAAACGATGTGTGTACATTTTCTCAACATCTCTGAAAGAAGCTTCCATGTGTCTCAAACTCTGCAAGTGCAAAATGGACAACTTTTGAAAAATAGAACAGTTTAGATAATGTGGGATTCGTGTTATCCTATATTTTCTATAACCTCCATTTCATTAAACTTGTGACGAAAACAATTTACAATAAAAGATAATACCAAATGTATAAAGAACAGAAATGAATTTGGGTCTAAACAGAAGAAAAGTTAGGAAATACAGAGGCGTCTTGTGTTCACAAGTTCAGAAACCACATTCTAGTTCCAGGGATGAAGTCAGACACTAAGTAGAATTCCTGTGTTATGAAAGTACAGGATGGAGAACATATTAGCAGAATCTGTGTTTTGATGTTTCCTTTAATGTATCAGAAATCAAACTATATTGTATGAGGTGAATAAGTGTGATGATTAGAATTTAGTTATATTTCATTGCAATGAGGGTGACACTAAGTATCAACAACACAAGATTCTTCCTGATTTGAGTGGAGAAATCTGCAGAGTTTTCCAGGGATTAGAATATAATTTGAGTCACTTCACAACCAACAACTGGGAATTGCGTGTTAATAAAAATGCTGGAGTTATGAATATTGGCAGGCAGGTAAAGTACCAGTAAGTACTTTCCACAAAGCTGACAAAGGTGCATTACATGCCTGGTAATAGAAGGTGCTTTAGAATAAGCACGCTTCCTGAAGCTAACATTTAGCTCAGGGTTAATGTGTTATAACAGATTAAAGACTCAAGAACTACTTTCAGTAAATTGTGTGCGTTTTACTATTAAACACAAATCTCAATTCCATGGCTAAAGCGAATGATAAAACGTAGTGGGCTTCCACAATTATCTCAAAACTGCAGACATTTCAGAGAGGGAGCTCTTGGCAGAATATTGCATACAGTATTTCAGGCTGTGTGTCAGTGGCTGTAATACAACAATGAATTGAAAATAAGTGGCAGTTCAGTAATGGTATTTACAAGTGCTAACTGGACAAGATTTTCTGAAGACAGAACAGGGTATAAATTGAATCCCTCCTAGCTAATGGGGTCCCTTTTACCTCCACCCAGGCAAATTCACTTACAGGAAGGTCAGGTGGAGTTTCCACCATTGCCCTCCCTTAGGGATTTCCATCAGAAAAGAGAAGCTTTAATTACCCAATGGGCAATATATAGGAGTACTGGAGCCAAATCGGCTTCAAGTTGGTGCTGAATGTGTGCACACCTAACATCCCCTGACCAGGTCCTTTTTTCAATCAGCCATTCCAAACTTCTGTACTATTACTGATCTCCTGCATAACCTCCCCAACTCCTGGTTGACCTTTGGGGACCTTTGCCTAGTTCTATGACAGTTTCTCCAGATGTAAACAGGGGAGTGATTCTAGCCATATATTTCTGTTAAAGAGTGCAGTCAGGAACAGAACAAAATCTTTTTAATGTTACTACTTTTTAATAAAATTTCAGTTAAAATAGATCCTAGAGGTTTTATCCCTTTTCTTTCTCCTAATCTTATTTTTCAGGGCAAAATTTAAGGCATTAAATAGTGATGAAGACTATAACGACCTGAATAGAAAAGGCATGCCCAAACCCACTTGCACACAACTCTGACAAGTTTTAACTGACAAAACCTACATCACTTCAACCCCAGTAACACTGTTAAGAGACATACAAGGGTTTGAATTCTAAACAAGTAGAATTCTAAAACCCTGTCTCCCCCCTCTGATTTTTTTCCAGATGGATGCTAAGATCTATGGGGGGAAATGTGGGAACCTAATGCTTGGGATAGCTTCCATCACCTAGATATTATAGTGATAGGTGCTATAAGAAACCATGAAGCAGAGAGACAGGGAAGAGAATAGGAGATCTTCTATCTTGCCCTCAAAACATTTCATAGTACTTCGTAGGGAGCTGTCTAGAGCTTCGCAGGGAACGCAGCCCCACGCAGAGGTTGCACAATGGACGAGTATTCACACAAGTAACAACAGGATTTGTACATGGATGATTAGCTAATGTATTGGAACAGGCAACATTAATATGAGATGAGGGAAACATGGCTAGCGGCTGCTTGATATACTACACCTTTACTCAAAAAAATATTTTTGAAATTGTATTACACCCAAAAGAAAGTATTTCATACCAGACAGATTGATATTAGCCATAACATTATTATTAGAAGAAAAGAGGTCTCAGGCCCTTTCCTTCCAAGCAGCAAAAATAAACAATGTATTTTAAAGAACAGCTGCCAGAGCAAAGTAAAATATTCAGAGCCTGCAAATAGCGACAGATGCTTAATTCAGATTATCCATCAAAACGGGAAAAATTATACTGATAGAAAAATAAAATTAGTAAACATTAAAATTAGTAAAAATTAATTAGTAAATTATTTGAAATACAGCATCTGAAAGCATTTTCTTAAACCAAGTAAATTTTTCTTTAGGCATATAACTCCAGTTCTGGAGCTTTGGTCTGTCACCCTTTCTGCTGATGTTGTCACACTGATGAGGCCAAACACTACCACATGTTAACAGACACCACTGCAGCCAAATGGAGTGTTAAACAAATATTTATCCACATGCATTTTTGAAAGGGTGAACTCGCATATAAAAGTTACAGCATATCAAGTCCCAAAACAAATAAAGTCTTACCTTAGCAGTTTTAATATAGTGGCTCAAAACTTCAGCTCTTATTTTTAAAGTTTGTGCATGAAGAATCTCTCTAACGACCCAGAAGCTTACCTGAAAAAGAAAATTCACCTAGTTTTAAAAGGCAGTTAAAGCAAGTATGTTTCATATATGAAGTGAAAAAATTAAATACATTAAAAACTACATCAAACCAAATATACTTACAGCAACTTTGTAAGTTAGGAAATGCAAAAGTTAACATTGCTATAAAAATCTTAGCTGACCCAAACTGCACATAATACTTATTAAATAAATTAACTTAAAAGCCTTAATAATTCAAAACACTTCCCTATATGCAAAATGTGACTACATTAATATTGCTCTGAGATCCTGAACTTTCGAATTTCCTATAATATTTGAAGTTTACAACTTTAAGTTGCATTAATGTAGATATTTGCATTTAATTACATTAGATTTTTAAAAAATTATAGCTAACTATAATATGAAGTTTAGAATTCTATTATATAAACTCTATAAACTGCAAGACCTACAACAGCTACAACAGATAAACAAAAATTCTGCTTATGAAGTTATGCAATTGTGTTTTTCTGTGATGCCAGAGAATTTAAACTACACTACTCTGAATTTAGAGGGAAAATATTATTTTGATACTATAGAATTATGAATTTAACCACTATGAAACTGTATAACTCCACAGTACTTCAGGCAATAACATAACTAAAAACTTGCAGTTAAAAAAAAAAGTGTGTTGCATGCACACACCGATTTTTAATTCCTATTTTCTCATTTGAAAGTTGTTCCTAAACCTTTCCTCCTCCCCCACAAAAGCTAACCTTGCCTCATAGATTTCTTCACTGAGGGCTAACCATGTATGAAGGTAAGCTTTAAAGTTCTGCTGTTTGAAGTAAGTGTATGTAGAAAGCCTATTTTTAAATGGAGAAAGTATTTTTCCCCCAAATCACCAATCTCAAAAACAACTGAATATGTTGTGTGTAAACGTCCCAAAAACATTCACTTTTGAGCTGAGACCTGGCTTGAGTTCAGTTTCGGCTCCACTGAAATCAATAGCAAAACTCCCACTCTCTTAAATGGGGTCAGGATTTCATTCCTAGAGTGGAAAGTTTCAGTTCCAAGGCAAAAAGAAAATCTGAGACAGTTATGAATAGACATAACTGGATACAATAAAAGTTGAACTGCAACCTCAATTACAAGTTTACATTACTACAAAGTGATATGGTCTGATTTTCAAAGGTACTGAGCACTAGCAGCTTACATTAACTTCAATGGGATTTGTGGATGCTCAGCACTTCTGAAAATCCGACCAATAATATTTAAACTAAATCAAGGCCTAAAGTAGGAAGGCCTTGCTATACTCTAGATTCCACAGTTTGATGTCTTGTCATTGCTAGATAAGCTGATACTTACAAGTAATTTATACTATAAAAATGTCCTTGTTAAAGTCTTATAAGATTCACAAATGTTATATTTTTAATATACTGCAGTAGAACCGAGTTATGAACACCAGCTACAAACTGACGGTTCAACCACCTTATTTGGAACTAGAAGTACACAATCAGGCAGCAGCAGACAGACACACAAAAAAAGCAAATACAGTACTGTGTTAAACAAACTACTAAAAAAAATAAAGGGAAAGCAACATTTTTCTTCTGCACAGTAAAGTTTCAAAGCTGTATTAAGTCAATGTTTAGCTGTAAACTTTTGAAAGAACCACCATAACAGTTTGTTCAGTTACGAACATTTCAGAGTTATGAACAACCTCCATTCCCAAAGTGTTTGTAACTTTGAGGTTCTACTGTAGTAAGATTATATACTATATAGCAGGGGTGGGCAAACTTTTGGCCCGGGGGCCACATCTGGGTATAGAAATTGTATGGTGGGTCATGAATGCTCATGAAATTGGGGTTGGGGTACGGGAGGGGGTGAGGGCTCTGGCTGGGGGTGCAGGCTCCAGGCTGGGGCGGGGCGGAAGGAGGGTTCCGGCTGGGGGTGCAGGCGATGAGGGGTTTGGGGTGTAGGAGGGTGCTCCAGTCTGGGACTGAGGGGTTTGGTGGGCGGGAGGGGGATCAGGACTGGGGTAGGGGGTTGGCTCAGGGTGCAGGCTACGGGCAATGCTTACCTCAAGCCATGGTTCCCAGCCAACGGGAGCTGCAGGGGGCGGTGCTTGGGGTGGGGGTAGCGTGCAGAGTGGAGCCCCCTGGCTGCCCCTATGTGTAGGAGCCGGAGGGGGGACATGTCGCTGCTTCCAGGAGCTGCGTGGAGCGGCCCCCAACCCTGCTCCCTGGCTGAAGTGCCGGAGAGGAGATCCCGCTCCCCAGCGGTAGCTCAAGGGCTGGATTAAAACGGCTGGTGGGCCAGATGCAGCTCTCGGGCGTAGTTTGCCCACCCCTGCTATATAGTGTGAAGTCTACAGCAAATGTGTTACTGGAACATTCTTTTTTAAAGTGTGGCTGCTACCAAATACAACACATCTAAAATTGCATTAACATTTCAAGCTTTCACTTTAAATATTTAAAAATTAAAATAAAATTGACAAAGTTTTAATATAAAAAAATAAAAATACTTTCTAGTCATGACGAATTAGCAAGTGAAAACTGATGTACCTTATCTTGCAACTTTTTCTTTGTTACACTGTTAAAAATGCTGAAAAAAGATCAAGGTTTAGCAGGATGTAATGCAACTGCTGTTTACAGAGTTCTAAAAAATAAACACTATAGACGCATTCTCTGCTGCATTACTCCTCCCATCCCCAAACTTGTACTGCTTCTTCAACTTCTGAGAAACTAATAAATTACTTCTTGCAGACTCTGGCTGGATGTATAATCAGACACTATTCCCGTGTCTACTTCCAGTAAGAAAAAACCTTGTTTATCCTATCTAACCTCACACCGTGCAGTTTTACAGTTCCATATTTGTTTATACAGAACAGCACCAGGAGAGAGAGTCAAGTCCCTAAAGTACTGTATTCTTGTTGAAGTCACAGAAATTTGGTTAGACGCACAATCATGGAGCAAAACAGCTCTTTGACAACATTCTGGTATCAAACGAAGGTTCAGAATCAGACATTTATATTCCAAATACTACAAAACTGTGTAATACCTAGAGGAGCATTACATACGGAGCTCAGTTTTCAATAATTTTTAAGCAAACTGGTTACTGATAATTGGAGGTGGAAAACACAGCAGCGGTTTCAAACCAGTCCCACCAAGTGAGTGCAGATAAGCTTGCTGATGAAGGGGAAGGGAGCTCGTTAAGCACATACATGCGATTTATAATAAATTTTTTGCCTTTTGTTACCCAAAACCTCATCTTCCTACCTAAACCCCCTTCCACCATCATTCCCCATTTTAAAATGGTGCCCATCTCATCTGCAGATTTAAAGAACAAAGGCATTGACTTTTGATTGCTTACTTTAGTACTATAATGTCAGAAAATAAAACATTAGGGAATAAATTCAAAGAAATTAGTATGGCAATCTGATTACACAGTCCACATCAGATTAGTGTCAGAAAGTAGACTCAGTGTCCACTTTTCAATTCTTTGGTTTACTGGGCTAGGCGGGGGAGAGGGAGAGGAAGCATACTTTGTTTATCTGAATAAGGGCATCCCTTTTATCCTCTTGAGAGATCTAAATGAAGCTTTCGTGGAGATACTCTGCAATCCTTTCAAAGATTTCTAGTTATGTCAGCCTTGTTTCTTCCCCGGTGACAGGAGACTTTCCTATGCTACTCTGGGAGGAGTTTGATTAGCTCTATTGCAGTAAACAGCCCAGCAGCATATGGGCCCAGGCAGCTTTGGAACACCACCAGCAGCTGGGTTCTCTGCACCTGTGACAATCAGGGTCCAAAACACGCCAAGGGGAGAATAGGGAGTTTGACCCCAAAGAATAAGCAGTTGAATCAACAGATTATATACAACTTTATTATATTATAAAAGGCGAGTAAGATTTTTTTATGAAAGCTTGTAATGTATTAAACTTAATGGTCATTAGGAGATATGTATGAAGAGTGTGGTTATGAATGTATGTATTAGTATACATAGAAAACCATGCTCACAATTAGTGGTGCAATCTGGCAAAGAGAGGCTGCCTCCCTAACCAGACGATACTAGCTAAAAGCACCTAGAAAAATTGTAGAACCCAGGAAAAGACATCCTGGCTAAAGTTTACCTATCCTGAATATCCGTGCGGAGGGGAAGACCTTTTAAAAAAAGGAGACTTGAAACTGAGGTCTTCTTACAGATAGAGAGCTGTGGGGATATAAAAATTTGGATCCGCATCCACAATAAATAACTTGTATCTGACCCGCGATCCGCACCCCACTTTCATATGTATCCGCATCTGCTCATGCACCAGCACCCTATCTCACTGTACCTCTCAGGAGGAGCATCAACGTGCATTCATCAATACTGTATAAGGAAGCTATATGGCTTCATAAATGCACACACTTGCTATATTATTTTAAACAGGCATCAGAACAAATAGCATTTTACATACAAAAATAATAAAATAAATATCTCAAGTCAATAATACTCAAAATCACAAACTGAACTATAAAATAAAAAGTTGGGCACCTGTTTAGCTTGTGACTTATACCAGCCCTGAATTGCGGGACTTCGTCTTAGATGTCTCTTGGAACAGTTGATTTTCTTTGAAATATTACTGTGTAAAACCATTAAATCATCCACAGTTCCTGGCTAAAGTGAAGTTTGATTCTCATTAACTGTGCAACCAGAGACTGAGATGGCTCTCTCGGACGGTACCCTGGATGCAGGGACGGTGGAATGCACAAACCGTGCAACTCGACTGAAAAAAAGAGGAAAATTGTGCTTCTGTTGTCTCCACCACTCCAGCAGCTGCACATCTTCATTCTTTGTCAGCATCAGGGTGACATACTTTGACACTTCGTCATCATCATCATTTCCACATTCATTATTCGAATCCTCAAACTCTATGTGACAATTTTTTCTCCTTTGTTAATGTAGTCTATTTAGGTGACAAAAGAAGCATAAGATTCATTGCAGCAATATTTTTCTTCATGCAATGAGACAAGCTTCTTGGTTTCTTGATAATCTTT